AGTCTCCTGCCTCAGCCTCCCAAGTAGCTGGGACCACAGGCACCCACCACAATGCCCGGCTATTTTTTTGGTTGCAGCCGTCATTGTTGTTTGGCGGGCCCAGGCTGGATTTTTTTTCGAACCCGCCACCTTAGGTGTATATGGCTGGCGCCTTAGCCAATTGAGCCACAGGCCCCAAGCCAGGGTCTTTCTTTTGCTCAGGCAATTCACCCGCCTCGGCCTCCCAGTGGGCTAGGGCTTCAGGCATGAGTCACCATGTCCAGCCAATAGTAAATATTTTTGAAGCACTTTTTTCAAGGACGGCGCCTGTGGCTCAAAGGAGTATGGTGCCGGCCCCATATACCAGAGGAGGTGGGTTCAAGCCCGCCTCCGGCCAAAAACTACAAAAAAAGAAAAAATAAATAAATTTAAAAAGTACTTTTTTCAAGAAAACATCTATTATTTCTATAAAGAGCATAAGTAGTTGACAATTACTGAGTTGCAGTGTTGAAATTTTATACCCAAAGAATATTACACCTATAAAATCATTCAATTCAGTTCATTTCTTCTCACTTTCAAAATAACCAAAAACACAATAGAAAATCTATAGTCAACAGACTAAAAAGGACTCCACATGCAAGACTTTAAATTCACTCAAACAAGAACAGGTTATGAAAGATACTTGTGTTCAGCTGGCTATACACAGCAAATTATTTAATATGTAAAAAAGATACCTTACCTTGCTTTCACTGATTTCTCGAATCCACTCTTTTACCAGGTTATTTAATTTTCCCAAAATTAAAATCCTGTTGATAAAGCAATTATCAATCAAGCACCAGGTTGTTTGTTATTCCAAGTCATTACTATTTAAATACAAAAAGTTTTAAATAGGTGGCTTCCTAAATTTTAATTTTTTTTTGCAGTTTTTGGCCAGGGCTGGGCTTGAACCCGCCACCTCTGGCGTGTATACAGGGCTGGTGCCCTACTCCTTTGTGCCACAGACACTGCCCCCTAAATTTTAATTTTTAAGTGATCAGAAACATACATTGGTACTGTTATACTGGGTAAGACATTCCCCTGTCTCCTGACAATTCAGTACTTTAACTAAAAGCATCAAAAATCCAAATTAACAGAATAGAACTCTATGCAGAATAAAGTTTTCTCTCCTAAGTATCACCTTTGTCTGAACAGACATATAGATTTCAGAGAATAGCTCTTGAGTGGAAGACATCTCAAAATTAATTTCAACATTAAACTTATAAATTCAAAAAACATACACTTACCTGCGCTGCAGTTCCTCTTCTTCTTCAAAAACCCCAAAGGGCTTCAGAGTCTCAATAAGTTTCTGTGTAAGTATGCAGTCAGTCTCCTTGGGGGCTGCTAAGCTGATAGGAGAAGTAATGCCATAGTGCTTCTGTGGCGGCTGTGTTTGTTGTGATCCCTGTGTTGTAACTGGACTATAAATGGAATTGGATAAAATTACTGCCAAAAAAAATAATTCTACAATTTGAAGCATATCAGCATGATTTGAAAAACTACTTTAGTAAAATACAGTTGGTTCCCTCCATACCTAAAAAAATTTTTACAACAAAAAGTGATCAAAAGCAAGTGACTACAAGAAGATAATCTTGTCCCAAGGGTTTTAACTTCATCACTATCTAAATGCCTAAGTAAACTGTAAGTACTTACATCAAATATATTTCTAGAGAAAATACAATCTAGAATATAGCAATCTTCTGAGAAATTTTAACTCTTGAAAAGGAGCCAAAACCTGTTACATTATTTCTAAAACATTGACAAAACGTCTATCAATACAAAAATGACTTTTTACCAATATAGAAAACTCCCCAAATGGAATTTGGCATCTGTTTCACAATAAATAAAACTCATAAATAAGGCAAATAGCATAAATATAACTAATACAATTTGAGAGAAAAGAACTATATTCACCCTAAGCTTATTAGTAATTTTTAATAAAAGACTTATACTTCAACAATACTAGTTTAAAAGGCTTTTCCATTTTAAGAGAAGTTCCAGATTTGTATAACCAGTAGGATTTTAACACAACTGGTAAAAAGGCACAGCATGCTTTAAATATTTAGAAAACTAAGACTCAATTACTTTATAAACCCCCCCAAAATCGTGTTTATTAAAATAATTAACTTCATGTCAATGAATGCCTCTAAAAATAATAGCACAATTATTTTAAAACAGTTGGATAAATATGAAAAACCAGCTAAGAGATAAGGAACAACCTTTACAACTAGATTAGTTTGTCCTTCAGATTCCATTACTTCAGAAAGTGTTGATGGGCTAGTGTGGTAGCTGTAATCCTAGCTCTCTTGACGGTCAGGAGGTTCCACACCACACCAGCCTAAGAATGAGACCTCATTTCTACAAAAATGTAATATTCAGCAGGTCCTTATAGTCCCCGTCCTCTTGACGGTCAGGAGGTTCCACACCACACCAGCCTAAGAATGAGACCTCATCTCTACAAAAATGTAATATTCAGCAGGTCCTTATAGTCCCAGCTACTCAAGAAGTTGAGGCAGAAGGATCCCTTGAGCCCAAGAGTTTGAGAGCACAGTAAGCTATGATGATGCCACTGTGCTCTAGCCAGACTACAGAGCTAGACTCTGCCTCTTTTCAAAGAGCTTATTTTACATAACAGAGTTACTTTTCTTGCAAATTCTAAATACATTCTTCCACTTTAAAGTGTGATAATCAGGCTGGGCATGGTGGTTCATGCCTGTAATCCTAGCACTCAGGAAGACCCAGGTGAGTGTATTGCTTGAGATCAGGAGTTGGAGACCATCCTGAGCAAGAATTAAGAGTCCTTCTCTAAAACTAGCCAGGCATTGTGGCAGGTGCCTATAGTCCCAGCTATTTCAGAGGCTGAAGCTGCAAGACAGTAGCTTGTGCCCCAGAATTCAAGGCTGCTGTGAGCTATGTGTAACTCCAGGGCACTCTACTGAAGGTGACAAACTAAGACTCTGTCTCCTAAATAAATAGTGTACACGGGATAATCTGCTTAATAACATCCCAACTCTAAAACGGTGCACATGTAAGCTTGCAATGCATTTACCATACGTTTTCACAGGGTCTTGGTCTACTATAACTACTATTGTGTTTTGTTTTTTTGGGGGGGGGGCAGAGTTTCAGTATGTTGCCCTTGGTAGAGTTCCGTGTAGTCACAGCTCACAGCAACCTCAAACTCGGGCTCAAGTGATTCTCTTGCCTCAGCCACCCAGTGTAGTGCCGTGTAGTCACAGCTCACAGCAACCTCAAACTCGGGCTCAAGTGATTCTCTTGCCTCAGCCACCCAGTGTAGCTGTGACTACAAGCGCTCTCCACAACACCCAGCTATTTTTTGTTGTTGTTGTTTAGCTGGCCCAGGCCGAGTTCGAACCGGCCAGCCTTGATGTAGCCTACGCCCTACCCAATGAGCTATAAGCACCACCCTACTATTCTGTTTTCTAGTCTGTCAGAAAACCCATTGATAGGGTTTTAGTAGCCATTGGGCTGTGCTATCATGTAGTCAATGTTTTCTATCTACTTATGTACTGTCTCAATTATAATTCAGATTTATTAGTATTTACTGAAGAATATGAATCAGTAAATCAGATTTTCTATTGTAGAAATAAATTCATGTCAGATCACTTTCTCTTCCTGCTCCTTTTATCTAAACTGCATATCTGTAAGTGTAACTGAATTCATAACATCTTATGTATTAGATATTTTCATTAATCAACAAAGAGTTACCATCAGAGTTTTAGAAAACTGGCATAAAAAAGGTGACCCTCAAACTGCCTAATCACATGAGAACCCTTCTCCATACTGCACACTAATAGATCTAATAACTGAAGATAATTTATTTATTTTTGGCAGGAAGTGTTTTCCCCTCCATCCTTATTTAAATACCATTGGTATACCAAAATAAACTGAATAATACAGACATGTAGAATTTGAAGAGTTTGGAAAAATGCATAGACTTTGGTTTTCATAACCACAATAAAGGCACATTGCCTCCAAGTTTCTTTTTCTTTTTGAGACAGAATCTCACACTATGTCACCCTTAGTAGAGTGCCATGGCATTACAGTACACAGCAACCTCAAACTCTTGAGTTCAACAGATCCTCCCACCTCAGTTTTACTATTTTTAGTAAAAATGGGGTCTTGCTCTTGATCAGGTTGGTTTCAAACCCTGAGCTCAGGTGATCTACTCACCTCAGCATCCCAGAGTGCTAGGATTACAGGCAGGAGCTGCCTGGCTACCTCCAAGTTTCCCTGTGTCCTTTTTTGTGAGGCAGGGACGGGGGGAATAAGAACACTTAACATGAATGAGATCTACTCTGTTAAATTTTCAAGTGCACAACACCTTATTAATTATTAAAGTATTTAAATGTAAAAAAAGTATACTCATTACATATACTAACATAAATAAATTCCCCTGTATTATTTATGAGTTTTTCCAAGTAAGCTATAGCCTTTCACGATTACCTGGAAATTACAAAAGCCTTTATAAATGATTTAACATGAGTAAAGCTATAAATGAAAACAAAGGAAGTGTAAAGTTCATTCTGTGTAGGCTACACTTGGTTCAAGCAAGTAGTTTTCAAGTCATGTTTAAGTTGAAATCATGGTTCATAGCTTCAACTAATAAACCTATTTTTCTTTTATTTTGTATAAATAATATATTTATCTGCATTTTCCCCTGCTTCTAAAGGAACTAAATTCATTAACCAGTTCAGTTTGGATCATTAAAAAATATGAGTGCCCACTCTCTATGGGTACTCTTTCCAATTTTCTTCTTACTCAAATCTTCAGATTTTACATTGTCATACAAGAAAAATTGGAAAGCTACTGCCTACTTCAACTTTCTCCTCAGAATATTAGGATACAATCTCTGATTTCTTTGTTTCTTTCAAGACAGAGTCTCACTTTGTCGCCCTTGGTAGACTACAATTGCATCATAGCTCACAGAAACCTCCAACTCCTGGGCTCAGGCGATTCTCTTGCCTCAGCTTCCTGAGTAGCTAGGACTACAAGCACCAGCCACAACGCCCGGCTATTTTTTTTGTTGCAGTTTGGCGAAGGCCAGGTTTGAACCCACAACCCTCAGTATATGGGGCTGGTGCCCTACCCACTGAGCCACAGGTGCCACTCCAGTCTCTGATTTCTAAAAGTACCTATCTGTTCATCCTAATTTCACGAAATACTGATGACTACATTAATTTCCACATAAACTTTTTTTTTTTGAGACAGAGCCTCAAGCTGTTGTACTGGGTAGAGTACTGTGACATCATAGCTCACAGCAACCTGCAACCCTTGGGCTCAAGCAATTCTCCTGCCTCAGCCTCCCAAGTAGCTGGGATTACAGGTGCCTACCACAACACTCGGCTATTTTTTGGTTGTAGTTGTCATTGTTGTTTGGCAGGCCCAGGCTGAATTCAAACCTGCCAGCTCTGGTCTATGTGGCTGGCGCCTTAGCCACTTGAGCTACAGTCACAGAGCCCCACATAAACATTTTAAAGGAAAAGTAAGTTATATTCAAGTTGGAAATTTTTACTTTATTTGAAATGTAGACACATCATTAAACCTCAGTATTACTTTATATTAAAATAAAGCCATATGTATTTGTTCCATCTAACTCATGAAAGAACATATATGTGCATAACATGTTATGTATTATGTATATACATTCATAGAGAACACATATCTAATTCAAGTAAGAACACAGGTAAAAATAAAACACACCCAAGTAAGAAACAAATACATGTTCTGAAATTCACAAGGTATTTGTGCCTCCAATAAAAATAGCTTAGTGTTTGCTTAAGTGGAGAGACTAAGAAGTCCAGGTTGCTAGATGATTTACATGCCCAAAGTGGGAGCAATAAAACCACTGTTATATTTTAAATAGAGGAAGTCAAATTTTTCCATCTTGTCTTGGCGCCTGTAGCACAGTGGTTATAGCGCCAGCCACATACACCAAGGCTGGTGGGTTCAAGCCCAGCCAAACAATAATAGACAACTGCAACAACAAAATAGCCAGGCATTTATGGTGGGCACCTGCAGTCCCAGCTAATGGGAGGCTGAGGCAAGAGAATCACTTAAGCCCAGGAGTTTGAGGTTGCTGTGACCTGTGATGCCATAGCACTCTACCCAGGGTGACACAGTGAGACTCTTGTCTCAAAAAAAAAAAGGCTCAGAGCCTCTGGCTCAAGTGGCTAAGGCGCCAGCCACATATACCTAAGGTAGCGGGTTCGAATCCAGCCCAGGCTCACCCAACAACGACAGCTGCAACCAAAAAACAGCCAGGCATTGTGGCGGACGCCTGTGGTCCCAGCTACTTGGGAGGCAGAGGCAGGAGACTCGCTTGAGCCCAGGAGTTGGAGGTTGCGGTGAGCCTTGATGCCAGGGCACTCTACCCAGGGTGACAGCTTGAGGCTCTGTCTCAAAAAAAAAAAAAAAAAAAAATTCCATCTTAAACATTAAGTACAGTGGTAAACTTAATGAATATTTTTGTAGGTGGCACCTGTGGCTCAGTTGGTAGGGCATCAGCCCCATATATCAAGGATGGCGAATTCGAACCGGCCCCTGTGGTGGGCACCTGTGCTCCCAGCTACTCTGGAGGCTGAGGCCTAAGCCCAGGAGCTGGAGATTGCTGTGAGCTGTGATGCCATAGCACTCTACCCAGGGCAACAGATTAAGGCTCTGTCTCAAAAAAAATGGGGGAGGGAATATTTTTGTTACTGTTCTGTTTCTAACAAATAAATAATATATACTATAATATTGTGCAATTTAGAACACTGGTCTCAGAATAATAAGGAATAGGATTCTGCTTTATATAAGCACTGACAGACTCTCTTCTGGAACTGTACACCAGAGAGCTAGCACTCTGAAGATAAGCTCTTCCTCTCATTCTTGAACATATTAGACATCTGCCCAAGTCTATCACTTTTTGGAAACCTTTTTGGCAGTATTTAATTTTCTTCAGACATTTCTCTGAAACATAAGCTTGTATATTTTATGTAAAACAATGAGAAAAAAACAAACTAGGCATAGAGGCTACAACATAATTTATGATTTAATTAAAATTTCTCTCTGGTTTTCTTTTTTTTTTAATTAGAGACAGAGTCTCACGTTGTCACCCTCGGTAGCATGCCGTGGCATCATAGCTCAGAGCAACCTCCAGCTCTTGGGCTTACGCAGTTCTCTTGCCTCATCCTCCCAAGTAGCTGGCACAACAGGCACCCACCACAACACCCTGCTATTTTTTTGTTGCAGTTTGGCCAGCGCCAGGTTTGAACCTGTCACCTCCAGTATATGGGCCTGGCGCCCTACCCTTTGAGCCACAGCTGCTGCCCTAAAACAATCTTAAAAGTCCAAATCCAGGCTCTGCACCTGTAGCTCAAGTGGCTAAGGCACCAGCCACATACACCCAAGGTGGCAGGTTCGAATCCAGCCTGGGCCCACCAAACAACAATGACAGCTGCAACCAAAAAATAGCCAGGCGCTGTGGCGGGCGCCTGTGGTCCCAGCTACTTGGGAGGCTGAGGCAGGAGACTCACTTGAGCCCAGGAGTTGGAGGTTGCTGTGAGCTGTGATGTCACAGCACTCCACCCAGGGGGACAGCTGGAGGCTCTGTCTCAAAAAAAAAAAAAAAGTCCAAATCCTTTCTGAAACAGACCAAGCCATAAAATACACACCTACATGTAATAGTTGATACATATACATATATGAACTTTGTCTCCTCTCAAAACCATAATGACAGTCAAACACGTTTCCCCCACACACACAAATCTTATCATTTTAGGTTCAAGACTTGGAGTAAAGAATTTTTATAACTCTTCTCTCCTTGGAACATGGAGTATTTTCTTGAAAAGTTTTCATCAGGGCAAAGCTCACACAGAACACACATCCATCTTTCAATTTTAACAACACTGTATATAACAATTCCATTTCAACTACTATAATTTTGACTCTGCCATCTTGCTCCCACTCATTTCTTCTATGCCCTTGCAATGGGCATACATATACCACCACCAGGCATTTCTTCCTAAAATGCAGCTTTCTAAAAACTGTGACATCTGCTAATAGTATTTACCACTGTCTGCAAAATATGGTCTCAACTCAGAAGCAATCCAATAAACATCCTCTAAGGCAAGCCTGATTCACTTCTGCTACTAGTTATATTACTCTGATTTGATTTCTGTCACTAGTTGTGTCATTCTTGGTAAGTTGTATTTCCAGTGATTTACCTTAGAATTTATTGTACCTCATCTCAATTATGGATAACAAATGAGAAATTTTAAAACTATTACACATTTACTACACTAAACAGCAGTTTCCAAACATGGAAAGTTTTTAGACCAATGATGAAAAAAAGGTCCTTTCCTTTCCCCTGCTAGCCTATTCAAGACCTGACTCAAATTAGGATAAATATTTAGGTACTTAGAAACAATAGTGACATTTTAATGAAATAATCATTTAAGAGTAGGGGCTGTTTATTTTGGCTAGGTTTAGGCTACACAGAGTAGCCAATAGGTAGCCATAGGCAAGCCAACTTACCCAATACATATAGGATCGAGAAACTACCTTGGGGCCCGGCACCTATAGCTCAAGTGGCTAAAGCGCCAGCCACAAACACCAGAACTGGCGAGTTCAAATCCAGCCCAGGCCCGCCAAACAACAATGACAACTACAACCAAAAAACAGCCAGGCATTGTAGCGGGCACCTGTAGTCCCAGCTACCTGGGAAGTTGAGGCAAGGGAATCGCTCAAGCCCAGGAGTTGGAAGTTGCTGTGAGCTGTGATGCTATAGCACTCATCCAGGATGACCGCTTGAGGCTCTGTCTCAAACACCAAAAAAACCACCTTGGTCTAGTAATTACAAAGCTAACTCAAATACTGCAAGCTCCTATAATTTGCTAACTTCAGTGATTATACAGCCAAAGTCTGAACAATCTTTGGACATATTATACCAATAACCATTTAAGGAAATGAGGAAAAGTATGGAGCACTCAAATGGCTTTGACTATCCATAGTAAAACGTAAATTCCAGGTGCTGTGGTTTTAAAATATTTAGAATTACAGAGGCACTAAAACAAATATTATTATTTTCAGAACCATGCAAGGCACAAAAGCAAATGTGCTTAAGGTTAAAATATTCTGATTTCGGCCGGGCGCAACAGCTCATGCCTATAATCCTAGCACTCTTGGAGTCCAAGGCCAAGTGGATTGCTCTAAGCTCACAAGTCTGAGATCAGCCTGAGCAAGAGCAAGACCCCGCCTCTAAAAATAGCCAGGCATTGTGGCAGGCGCCTGTAGTCCCAGCTACTCAGGAGGCTGAGGCAAGAGAATCGCCTAAGCCCAGGAGTTGGAGGTTGCTGTGAGCTGTGTGACGTCACAGCACTCTACCAAGGGTGATAAAATAAGATTCTGTCTCTACAGGAAAAAAAAAAAAAAGAAAGAAAAAAGAAATACACAAAAATCAAGAAACATAAAATTCATGTGGAAGGAGACAAATGAAGGCCCCACCCAGCAATACCAATAAGCTGACCAAGCTGAAACTTGTACAGGTGAATCAGAAAGGACGCTGTCAACTGTATTTCTTGGAAATAAAAAAACAGACAATAACACAATCTGTCTTAAAACTTTCATAGTGTTCTACGTATATTACCTTTCCTGATCCCCTAGGTTCTAGAATTTGACCCTTCCCACAGAAAATACAGAAAGCCTGGGCACCGTACCACAGTGGTCACAGCACGAACCACATACATAGAGGCTGGAGGGTTTGAACCCAGTCGGGCCAGCTAAACAACAACGACAACTACAACCAAAAAACAGCCGGGTGTTGTGGCGGGCACCTGTAGTCCCAGCTACTTGGGAGGCTGAGGCAAGAGAATCACTTAAGCCCAAGAGTTTGAGGTTGCTGTAAGCTGTGATACCAAAGCACTCTACTGAGGGCAACAAAGTGAGACTCTGTCTGTAAAAATAAATAAATAAAATTAAAAAACCTTGAAACTAGAGATCACTATCCTCAATTAAAATATCTTAGGAATGGAAAACCAAACGCCATATTCTCACTAATTAAGTAGGAGCTAAGGGATAGGTACACACAGGCCGGAGGCAATATAAAGCACATGAGAAACCAAGGGGAAAGGTGTGTACAGGATAAAAACCTATCTACTGGGTACAATAAGCAATATACTATTTTGGTAATGGGCACATCAAAAGCCTGAGTTTAAGGCGGCGCCTGTGGCTCAAAGGAGTAGGGCGCCAGCCCCATATGCTGGAGGTGGCAGGTTCAAACCCAGCCCCGGCCAAAAACTGCAAAAAAAAAAAAAAAGCCCAAGTTTAAATATTATACAGGATAACCATGTAACAAAAAACACTGTACCCTCTTCAATAATATTTTGGAATAAATAACATATAAAAGACTCCAAATGAACTCCAACTGGTCTCATATTTGACTCAAAGCACTTTTTATAAATTTGCTTAAATATAACTCAGGTGAACTATAGCTGTAATATTAACTTAAAGCTGACTTACTTACCAAGGAACAGAATACTCTGATGAACCAAAACATTTTTTAAGTAATCAAGCCACAAGAGTTTCTCCTTGAGAAAAGAGAAAATGAGGTAAAAACTAAGAACTGAATAGGCTCATAAATTTACTTCACTCCAATGTCTTAACATGCTTGAACTAAACAAATATGGCTCCAGATAGGGTCAACCAGATACGGTGTAGCTTACTAGAACGAGACTGGAACATGGAATCCAGAGATAACATAAGCCCCAATCTACAACATATATCTTTAAGACCTTGGTCAAGGAGCTACTATGAGCCTCAATTAACCAACTTTAAGGGGAACAAGTATCTCCGGCAATGCTATTGCTTCATAAATATACTGAGATTTTACATTTAAAAGCTGGTGATTGACAAAAACATTGCACATACAGAATACACATTCAAAAAATGAGAAACAGAATCCAAATAGTCTCATTTTTGACTCAAAACACTTTTTATAAATTTTTTTTTTTTGTAGAGACAGAGTCTTACTTTATTGCCCTCGGTTGGGGGCCGGGGCATCACAGCTCACAGCAACCTCTAGCTCCTGAGCTTAGGTGATTCTCTTGTCTCAGCTTCCCGAGTAGTTGGGACTACAGGCGCCTGCCACAATGCCTGGCTATTTTTTTTGTTGTTGCAATTCAGCCAGGGTCAGGTTTGAACCCGTCATCCTTGGTATATGGGGGCTGGCACCCTACCCCATGAGCCACAGGTGCTGTGGCTTTTTATAAGTTTGCTTAAATATAACTCAAAGTGAACTGTAGTGTAATGTTAACTTAAAGCTGACTTACTTATCAAGGAACAGAACACTGATGAACTAAAATATTTTTAAAGTAATCAAGCCACCAGAGTTTCTCCTTGAGAAAAGAGAAAATGAGGTAAAAACTAAGAACTGACAAGGCTCATAAATTTACTTAATTCCAATGTCTTCCTCCCAACTTCTCTTTCCAAAAGCAACTAAGGCTGGGCTCAACGGCTCACACCTCTAATCTTAGCACTCTCCAAAGTGGGTGGAATGCTTGAGCTCAGGAGTTTGAGACCAGCCTAAGCAAAAAGGAGACCTCATCTCCCCTAAAAACTAGCTGGGCATTGTGATGAGCGCCTGTAGTCCCAGCTATTTAGGAGGTGGAAGCAAGAGGACCACTTAAATCCAGAGTTTGAGGTTGCAACAGAAAAACTCTGTCTCCACACACACAAAAAATAAAGACCTAAAAACATCACATTCAAAAATTACAACCCAACCAACGTTAGCAGCAAGCCACTACACAATCTCCAAATCTTAAAAATCTGACATTCAAAATCTCCCAGACTGTCTTTCATTAAGGAGACAGAGTCTCAGTGGTGCCCATGGCCAGTCAGCAGGGCACAGGCCATATACACTGAAGGCTGGCAAGTTTGAACACAGTCCAGGCCAGCTAAAACACAATTAACAACTGCAACAAAAAAAATAGCTGGGCGTTGTGGTGGGTGCCTGTAGTTCCAGCTACTCAGGATGCTGAGGCAAGAGAATCGCTTGAGTCCAGGAGTCAAAAAAAAAAAAACAAAAAAAAAACAAAAAATACAAAACTCTCTCAAAAAAAACAAACAAAAAAGGAGAAAGAGTCTCATTTTGTCGCCCTTGGTAGAGTGCTACAACATCCTAACTCACAGCAACCTCAGATTCCTGAACTCATGCCATTCTCTTGCCTCAGCCTCCAGAGTAGCTGGGATTAAAGGCGCCTGCCACACGCCAGCTATTTTTAGAGGTGAGGTCTCACTCTAGCTCAGGCCATTTACCTACTTCAGCCCCCAGAGTGCTGGAATGACAGAAGTGAGCCACTGTGCTCACTCAAAAAATTTTTTATATCATGGGGGTGGGAGGTGGGGTGTTCATCCCTCCAGTCTGTGCTCAAAAACCACCACAAATGTTGCAAAGAGGCAACTCACATCACCACTGGAAATAGCCTACTCCAACTTGGGGCAGCTGTTCTCAAGAAGCAGTTCTCAACTTTTCAAACTTTATCTCAGGACACTTTTACAACTCTTAAAATGTACTACCACTCCTTCCAAAGAATGGACTACAGCTATTAATATTTATTAAACTGGAAGTTATAACTGAAAATCTTTTTAACTTATTCATTTGAATAACAAAAAACTCCTAACATGTTAACATAAGTAACTTTTAAAAAATTATTTTTAAGAACAAAAACTTAGTAAGAATACATTCTTCATTTTTGCAACTCTCTCTTAATTCTAGCTAAAAGCAAAGAGGGCTAGATCTCATATCTGCTTCTGCATTCAATCTATCATGATAAATCATCTTGGTTGTAAACCTGGCATCAAACTGACATAATAACTGGAAAAGAGTATTTTAAAACCCTTTTCAAATTGTGGACAGTCTTACATTACATCAGTGCTTTTCAAGTGGTAATTTTTCAACGACTAGTTACAATATGAAAGCTAAAACATTATCAATAAACCCTTTGTACTGTGTCGCATTAAAATATGATTTACCTTGCACTTTGAATCTGCCTTTAACCCACCTATGTCTTTATGACATCATGGTTGGTCGTTTGGGAAACATGGGCTCACTGAATTACAAGTATATTCAAAATATTAGCATACATCATGCAACATCAACAACTATATACATTAATATCAGAAACATCTTAAGTATCGCAAAGCTATCAAGCTCAAAATGAAGAAAACAAGCTTTCCAAATTCTGCTTTTTGCTTCCAAGCTGAAACTTTTCACTGGCCACAAATACTGTCGGCTGTTTTCCTTGAAGTCACAGGCTCACTTTATCTTCAAATAAATGTCTGCTAAATACTCAGGTGTGAATATCCACAATTCATCATTTGCTCTCAGATAAAATTGGAGCTGCATGAAAAAAACACTAGGTCACAAATCAAATCATACAAGTCATCGTCCTCAAAACCACTATTCTACTTTCCAGATGCAGCTTTTCGTGCACTGCATATTATAAAGACAAACTCAAGGATCAGGAATTGGGCAGTGCCTGTGGCTCACAGAGCAAGGCGCTGGCCTCATATACCAAGGGTGGAGGGTTCGAACCTGGCCCCAGCCAAACTGCAACAAAAAAATAGCCAGGCATTGCGGCAGGCACCTGTAGCCCCAGCTACTCGGGAGGCTGAGGCAAGAGAATCACCTAAGCCCAAGAGCTGGAGGTTGCTGTTAGCTGTGACGCCAAGCACTCTACCGAGGGAGACAAAGTAAAACTCTTGTCTTTAAAAAAAATAATAAATCAGGCGGGGCCTGTGGCTCAAAAGGGTAGGGCGTCAGTCCCATATGCCGGAGGTGGCGTGTTCAAACTCAACCCCAGCCAAAAAAAAAAAAAGATTAGAAAACAAGTACTTAAAAAAAAAATCAATAATTAATAAAATTTACATTCTCTTACTGTTTCACCAAAGATCCCTTTTAACTGCATGCAGTAGTGAAGAAACACAAAGACTACATACAAAATGGGCCCTCTGCTTTATTGTTTCTAAAGCACAAGTAGCACTATCCACCACTGCTTTTGCATCATCAGTCAACAGAATAAGACAGACAAAACATCTCAGTACCAAGAAAAAAGTTTAGATCCTCAAGTACCCTCTAAAAGCCATCTCAGCAGACCCTTCCCGGAGCATCCACAAGTCATACTCTGAGAACCACTACTATCCAGTATTACCACCCACCAGTAAGTATGTCCCAGTTCTGTTAAGACTACAAGAGACTACTCCAGCTGGGCACAGTGGCTCATGCCTATAATCCTAGCACTTTGCCAGGCCAAGGCAAGTGGAGGCCAAGCCTGCTCACAGTTCGAAACCAGCCTGAGCAAGAGCGAGACCCCCATTTCTAAAAATGGCCAGGCTTCGTGACAGGCACCTGTAGTCCAGCTACTCAGGAGGCTGAGACAAGAGAATCTCCTGAGCCCAATAGCTTGAGGTTGCTGTGAGCTATGACGCCACAGCACTCTACTGACAGCGACACAGTGAGACTGTCTCCTCTCCCCCCAAATAGACTACTCCAATTCCCTTTCTTCTGATAGCCCCTGCAAACGTTTGGGAGAAAAGCTATTCTGTCCCCTAGATCTGGCTAAATATCTCTTTCAGTACTTCAACAACATTCTACCAATGGGGCATAAATAATATATCATGATACTGGTTACTCTTTTTTTTTTTTTTTTTTTTTTTTTGCAGTTTTTGGCCAAGGCTGGGTTTGAACCCACCACCTCTGGCATATAGGGCCAGCACCCTACCCCTTTGAGCTACAGGCACTGCCCTGTATGGTTTTTTTTTTTTTTTAATTACAAGTGTGATACCTAGAACTGAGCTGATATACATAATGATCTAATCAAAGGAGTAAGGCAGAAATGCAAACATAGTTTCCATACAGGCATTACATTTCCTATTAATGAAGTGGTTCTCAACAAGAGTACATCTGGCAGTATCTGGAACCATTTTTGGTTGTCATTACTGGAGGGATAAAGGATAGGGCTCCTCGATATAGAAATAGTAGATAGAGAATTGGCACCTGTAGCTCAGCAGCCAGGGCGCCAGCCACATATACTAGAGCTGGTGAGTTCGAACCCAGCCCTGGCCTGCCAAACAACGACAACTACAACCAAAAAACAGCCAGCTATTGTGGCGGGTGCCTGTAGTCCCAGCTACTTGGGAGGCTAAGGCAAGGAATTGCTTAAGCCCAAGAGTTTGAGGTTGCTGTGAACTGTGAAAACACAACACTCTACCGAGGGCAACATAATGAGAGACTCTGTCTCAAAAATAATAATAATAATAGTAGCTAGAGGCTGAGGAGACCCTGCAATACAAGGACAGCCCCCTGCAAGGAATTTTCTAGCCTGTCAATAGTCCCTAGGTGAGAAATTCTGTATTAATGGATCTTAAGTCTATCAAAATCTTTGGAAGCTGCTGGGCACGGTGGCTCATGCCTTAAACCTAGCACTCTGGGACACCAAGGCAAGTAGATTGCTTAACCTCAGGAGTTCGAGACCAACCTGAGCAAGAGGGACACCTTGTCTCCATTAAAAATAGAAAAACTAGTTGGGCATTGTGGCGGGAATCTGTAGTACCAGCTACTTATGTGGCTGAGGCAAGAGGATTGCTTGTGTCCAAGAGTTTGAGGTCGTTTTGTGTGCTATGACGCCATGGCACTCTACTCAGGGTAACACAGTGAAACTCTGTCTCAAAAAAAATAAATCTGAAAGCTTCACCACCATGACTTAAGTCATACCACCATTTCAAAATCAATATGTAATCGCATATGAAATTTAGGCAAAACATGGACACTTGATCAAAATGCTATGTAATATGCTAAACTTCAATAATTTTTGTTTAATTCATCCTGACAACTCACCTATAGTCCATGACATAACCCCACTTACTCTGCCAAATTTAACAAGACAGGCACACTAAAAATGAAAGTCAAAACACAATATAGTAGCCAGGTGAGGTG